ACAGGATATGAGGAGAGTGTGAGATGGGGAATGACATACAACAGAGGTTCCAGGCCGGAAACGAACCGGGGACGTTGTGGTTCATGGTCGGCGCCTTAACCCCTAGGCCACCAGACCGCCCCAGGGAGATATAATTTTAAGTGATACTGTAGACAATTTGTATGAGTTCTTGTAATTATATAATATCACTAAAACGCACCATGCAGGGTTTGGCTGAGAGCCATGCATGAAGGCAGACTGTGTCTGCCGAGGCGTGGGCTGCCACTGCAGAGCAAATCCAGGCAGTTGTGTTGACTTTATGGACAGCCATCTTTCACCACCATCATTAAAAGCTAATTACTGCCAGTCATAAGCAGTGGCCTTTATGGGCGTTCCATCCTCTGCCATCCAGAGCACAGCCACAGGGAGTGACAACATGGGCCACGATGGGAGCTCTGATTGCACCAAATATTATTATTGCTTGTTTAACTCCATATCCAACGCCTCCATAACTTTTTTAAGAGTTGTTTTCAAATTCTGCCACAAGGAACCGAGAGCCTGTAAACCAAAAAAAGTGCTTTGTTGCAGATTACAGATTACGCCCCCCCCCACAAAAAAAAAAAAGTATAAGAAGGAGGTCATGGAAGGAAGTCCACTAAACAGGTTTTTAAAATCACAGTTTCAAAAAATGGGAAAATGGATGGGAATTTCCCCTTCCTGATAAAGGACAAGCAGCTGATAGCAGGCAGGAAGTGAGTCAGGCTCAGCACTTCAGCTGGCTCTGCACACTTTAGTTCAGACTTGTTGAGGCAGGCAATTATGCCTCCTTTTGATGTGTGTTTGCTGGGCTACCGTATTTGGGGTTGCCGGAGTTTGAACTTGTGTGGCCTACGATAAATGCTGCATTTCCCTCCAGGACATAAACCTAGATCGTTGTGAACATGCTGTGTCATTTTCCAGTAATGCAGCAAAACAACTTGAACCCTGACATTACTGTTAGTGGTTATACATTTGCTGATGACTCCATGCTCATTGCTCATGTTGCTAAAGTGGACAAGAATACATCTAGCTTAATGTAGTCTCAAGCATAGCATTTTAACCACAAGAACCCGGATTAAAGTGCCAGAGGAATGAATCAATAAAAACTTTTTACTCTGCAGGTACTGAAGTTCATAAGTGGGTCTCTTGACAACAGAAACAACAATGACAATGTGTGGGTAATTTTACGATGTGGATGTGGGAACATTTTCTGGATTATATCTTTAGTATCTTGATAAGATAATCAACAACTTCAATCACCGGTTGCAAAACAATGTTGTTTGTGATTACAATAGATAATGAGCTATCTCTACTCTCCATTCCTCTGAACTGCATTTTCTTGTTCTACAGAATTAAAACAGTCTGAGCACAATGTACTATGTGGCTAAATTGTGTATTGAATGTACAAATGCATGCAGTGGGGTTTTCGTTTTGGCTCTATCCTCTCTCTGTGATCTAATTCTAGTGTCTTGAGGATATTAATTAGCCAAGCCGATCTTTAGAACCACCATCAGAAGATTTTAAATTTAAGTATATGGACACTGAAGTAACCATCAGGACCTGTGGGAGAAGCTTAATGAAGGAACCAGATGTGACCTTGGTACCCTCCATCAGAGAGCCAGATCAACAGTGAGTCGTCCTGGCACTGCTCAGTTTTAATTAAACATACCATAATATTATTTACCAGCAGGTGGCAGTCTGCCATAAGCACAGTCAATGAGGCCAGAAGAGAGTTAGAAATAGAGCTCTGGTACAGGGAATTAGTGTCAGGAAGAAAATGCAGCATCAAGCTTTAACAGCCACTACTGTATAAGGAGAATGTGCCACTTACTCAAGGAAATGAATTGTGCTTCTAAACAAAGCTTAAAACCCTCTCTGTTCGATCTGCTCCATAAAAACCTTATGAAACCATTTATTATATCTTCGCTTTAGCCTGGGTTCACACAGAAGGCAATCTTCTCCTGTATTTTACAACCTTGCTTCAAGGCTTCATTTTCAAAATACCTCCTGAGGCAGAGATTTGATTTTTTTTTTTTTAAAAAGGGGGGATAAAATATTGATGTTGTTCTAATTTTGTAAGCCTGTTTTGTGAATAATTGATTGTTAGGGGAAATGAGTTTGTTTTATTTGCAGGACTAATACTGTTTTATTGAAGGCTTTTCACACATGCTATGAGCCCTTATTGCTTTTTCTCAAAGGTTTAGTGGGTGGGATGAAACCATTTCTAAAACACAATTGATCGCACAGTTTTTGTGTTACAGTGGCTTTAGGTCACATTCACAGCTAAAGATGATGGCAGTAAATCTGCTTTGTGTAATTGCTTGCAATATCACAAAATACGCTGCATGTCATTACATCTTCATATGCCATGTTCAGTTGCTACTGGATGCAGATTTTCCATCTGCTGCAAATTTGCATCCACTCATTTTTATGCACATCAGTCCGGATGCAGCCAACAAGGAACTGATGCTCCCACATTGCTGTACCATAACACAGATGGGTCTGACACAGATGCTCTTTCAGCAGAGGCAAAATTGTTGGCCTTGTTTTTATGACTGATTGCTTTCCTGTGAAATCAAACATGCAGAACAATGCCAACAATCAGCCGTATACCATGGTGGATTTTGTTTTGTGCTTTACTGTATCACACCATCATACTGAGAATGCTTGTGTGACTGGATAATAATGCCTATTTTATGAAGTGTTATCCCTCCTTCATCCTTCACAGGTCTGCGTCAGAGCGGTGTTACAGCTGTTACCTAAGACAGATGTTGTGATGGTATATAAAGTGTTCTGACAAGGAGCCTTGTTTCCTGTTGTGCAGTTGCACTGGGGGCACAACACACTTGCTTCTTCATGGCACCTGATCAGAGCCCAGGTGGATCAAACTGCTCCTCCATTTTTAATGAAAAAAAGCCCTTCACTGAGACATAAATATCAAGGTATGCATTTTCCCCTCAGCGTGTCCTAGTGGAGGTACAGGAGGTCTTTGGGGGGTTGGAAGGTCAATGTCAGTTAATGTACTGAGCAAAATATTGACCTGAAACAACCACCCTGAGGAAATTTGCACTTGCACTGCTGTTATTACAATACTCAGATACTAATTTGACTTGATTCCAACACATGATCACCACAATTCCGAATTTCCCTTGCAAATATGCACCAAAGCTTTTACTGAATCCAATAAGCACACATCTTACAACATCTGTGGTTTCATAAAGTACGAAGTTGGTACACCCTGAACCTGAGCTGATTTTACTACAGAATGTCAATATGAGGTGGTGGAAAGAGAGGCCCCTTTCTTCCTCTTAGGATCTGTGGTTTACACCGACATTAGCTCCAAGGACAGAAGGTCACTGCAGGGAAAGGTCACCTCTGCTGTTCTATTGGAAATACACAACTCCAGTATTTTCTTTCCTCTTATTTGTAGATCTTATCTGAAATCTCCTTCGACTTGATATTCAATCCTTCCCTGAAACTCAGCTTCCTTGCCCAGGAAACCAAGTCACAATAAGAAAAGCCTCCAAAACTGAATTATTAGTGTTATACTGTGTGTAAAATATTCCTAATATTGAGCCAGATTATTGATTTATATAAGCTTCCTGCTCAGTACTATATAACATAGAAGTGCTCACATGTCTAGTATATTTTCTACTGTATGGATTGAGTTATATCTGAAAGAGGAGACTGAAGTGAGTCGGTTCACAGCTCGAGAGGTGCAGATCTCGCAGACACAGCAGGAGTGAGCCATCCTCACTAGGATTATGTGGTCTCTCCAGGAACTTTATATGTCACCAAATATCAAAGGAATTTGTACACTGAGGAGAGAAATGGGTTGTCAGCGCTGTGACAACTCTTGACTGTTATCTAAGAGCCACTCGCTGCATTATTGCACCACGGTAATGAGAATTCTGACAGCGCTGCAGAACTGCAGCAAGGTACCAAAAGAAAGTTGAGATATCCAGGGCTTAAAGTGTTGATTGTTGTGGAATAATTACAACTCAGGAAGTGCTGACTCGTCGGGAGGACTGAATAGGTAGAAAATAACCTATTTATCATTCTTAAAAAAAAAAATAAATGAATAGATACATACTGGGTTGGTGGGTCGCTGTACTTGAGTGTATCCTCAGTTAAAGGAAATGCTGACTTTGGCAGGAACGGATTGATGAGGACTATTTGAATCTTTATCTTCAAACCTGCATGAACTAATTATTCTTTTAATCATCTTTTAAGATGCCCCTATCTAGAGCCAATTTTCTCCTTCTGGGCTTCTGTAGAAACATGGCAGCCTCCACGGAGGGCAACCCGCAGCTCATTCTAGGGTAACAAAAACACTACAATTCTAGGTGATAATACACTAATTAAAACATAGCATATGTTCTGATGCATATTATATTCCATATCTGTCAATCTCCTAAATGTTACACCCTTTAATAGAAAACAAAATCTAGACAGCATTTCCTTCAAATGTATTTGCAACAACAATTAGTTGTTGTTTATAAAGTAAATATAATTTCAAGGAGACAGAGTTTAGCTTTCTGCTCAGTGGTCACATTTTCACCAGAGGTTTCATCAAGCTATAACATAATAAACACAAATATGTATATTTCACTATTCTATTGGAATCAAGACTGTAAACCTAGGTTGTAAATAGCATTACCTATAGAAAGCATGTTATGTTATACATTATGTTAGTAACTGTGTGTTATGTACAGTCCACCCAGCCCATACACTTCAGACAAATCAAGATACAGGTGCTGTGGATTGCATTAAGGTTTCTGTTGACACTGTCCTCTTAGCCATCTGTGCATCAAAGTGTTCACTGCCTGCTCCTGCCCAGGAGTTGTTTGTCAAGACCGCAATAAAAATGTCTTACGTACCTTACGTAAGACACTGTAACCCTAACCCACCCACTTAGGAGAACATCAGTGCACATTCTTGTCCAGAGTTGAGAGTCTTTACAAGAGACCAAACAGAATTACTTTACATTCTCATACAATGTCTTTATGTCAGTGGCATTGAACATAACATAACTAATCTACAGATGCCCCAGTTTGGCATTATGCAAAATGTTGAGCTTACAGTGTAGTTAAGATACTCACAATCTTCAGGATGTCTTTTCTTGTCCAGTCCATACTAGTACTACTTTAAAATACTGAATAAGGCCATGGAAGCCACTGTGTCTAGCGGTACGTTGTGATAAGGTTATTATGAATCCATGAAGGGAAAAAAAGGAAAACCCCGCTACCACCACCAGCTGGCATGGAGGCTGGATAAACATGAGCTTTAAGTGCATCTTGTCATTCTCTCCCATGAGTAGCTGTCGTCCTGCAGCCAGGAGTCTCCTGCACGCAGCTTCTAAAAGGTTAAAACCTCCCATTCCCTCCAGCTGCTTGCTATCCCTGTATCTTCTCCGTAATGGATCAGGGCTGCTGGATCACTGAGGGACTCCAGTGGAGAAGAGCTAAGGGATTACAAAACCCTTCTATCAGCACATACACACCTCGTTGCTGCAAAAATCTCTCCCATAGTGCCACTCGCTCTACCACTGTTGTGCGATTAAGACCCTGAAGAAGAGATGAGCATTCACAGCTGTACTGCTGTAGTCCCTTATTTACATTATTATTACATTCATATTCTTCAGCCACTGCCAGTTTAAACATACACACAGTATTACAGTAGTAAGATGAACCTGCTCTATTGAATGTAGAAACCTTGATTTTATCGCAAGTTATAACATTTGATAATGTGATATTGACCAACCACAATAACTTATATTGCACATTTTGTACTGTTCACACCAAAAAAAAAATTAAAGCTTAATGCCTTCAGTCTGTTACTAAGATAGACAGCCGCTGTCAAAAAGACTTCTATTATTGCAAGTTTATAGATATCCTTTTTGCCTTTTCTTGTTGCTCTGACCAAACTTTAAGTACATCCACTCCTCCTGAGTAAAAATAAATGATCGTCCAGCGTTTGAGATTTACGATCCAAGTCACAGTCTCAGTCACTGCAGCACTGTACTACTTCATGCTCCTCATTAGAATGGATTCAAATGAGGAGAGAACCAATGCTTGTGCGTTGATCATTACTTTCCCAGCAATCAGATCAGTTCCTTGGCTTAGACCACATTCTGCTCCAGTAAGGGCGGATGTTCTTTAGGCCGTTGTTGTGGTTCAGTCATCTGGTCCTGCTGCTGCTCAGGGGGAGGCGGCTGCTGTGGTGTCGGATCAGAGTTTAGAGTTAGCGTCTGAGGGGGCAGCGCTGGTGTCGCCTGCTGTGGCTCTGGATTGGGCATCTCTTTCCTGTCACTGGGCTGAATCTCCAGAGGTGGTGTGTCCTTGCAGCATAAGTACTGTTGCCAGATTTTCCTGAAGGCCGTGCGGAACTTCTTAATGCGGAAAGCGTAGACAATTGGGTTGACAGCAGAGTTGCCGTGGGTGAGCAGGATGGCGATATAGAGGAGAACAATGGGCTTGTTGCACTCAGGGCAGAAGAGTGTGATGCAGTTGATGATGTGGAGGGGAAGCCAGCTGATGGCAAAAGAAAAAGGACCAGGGCCAGCGATTTAGCAAGATTCAGTTCCTTGTCATAGTACTTGTTGGGGTCTGTGTGACTGGTGGTGAACTTCTTATTGTTAAGTTGCTTGTGGATCATGTAGAAGATCTCTGCGTAGATGACCAACATGAGCAGCAGTGGTGGCAGCACCCAGCCGAAAAAGTTGAAATAGACCATGTAGTCCATGCTGATGACGTTTTCGAACTGGCAGGTGATAATGAGGTCAGAGCTGATGGAGCCGTTCTGCTGGAGGCGCCTCAGGTTGTTCCAGCCTAACATGGGTGTGAGTCCCACGATGAAAGCCACTGTCCAGCATATCACCACTGCCAGCCCAGCTCGCTGGGTGGTCACCACTCGCTTGTACCTGCCGGAGCAAACAACACAGTATCATGTCAGCACTTTCTCTCACAGCGCTGTCAGAGCATGCATGCTTTCTTTACTTAATTCTTCATTTTGGCAGTGTCCTTGGAATGACAAAATGTGTGATTCCTGAGAAAGAGCTGTTGTTTAAAATACAAAGCCCTTTGACACCTTACACACAGCTCCCTGCAGCACATATTTCCACTTGAGTAAGACACACTTTGCAAACCCTTATCAGTAAACCTTGCCCTTTGCAGCACTGCTGCTTTTCATGCTTCTTTTGTTCAGGGTGGCAAAACTGAATTACAGTTCTTAAAATTGGCTCAATATTGCCTACTAATTTATTACAGCGGACACAAGCTGCAGTTCTTGGCATGCTACAAAAGATTTTACAGGTTTGACTTTTTCATTGTTTATAGTGTTTTGTGGATAAGAAGCAGGAGGTAGGAAAAGGTACAGAAGCCCTGAAATCTTATCACTGCTGTCCTGTAAACAAGATATGACACAGAGAGACTCATACTTGCCTAGAGGCGGGGATGAAAACAGCTATCTGATCCAGTTCATGTTGGAAAGTGTGTAGTACAACAATTTATCTCCTTTGGATTACAAATAGCTATGTATTGATGATGTAATTGTAAGGGAAATATCGGGCATGACAATAACCTGACCTTTGCTTAAGTATAGCCGGAGGCAAAAGAAAACACTGCAATTTAGCCTGGCCGTCACAGATGCCATGTCTTGGATTAGTATCGATTAGGGATGTGTGTGTTAACTTAGGTCTGTGTCTGCACAGCAAGAATATTGTTATTCACACACCGAGCCGCTCTGCTCCGAGGAGATCAGATACTGATCAAACAACGGGAAGTGTGAGGAAAAAAAAGGGAAAATCAAGTTGTGGGAAGGGAGCAGAGCAACTCCTAAGCCAGACACCATTATGCTTCGATGGTTTTATACTTAATAAGCATTCAAAAGCTAAAATTCCTGATAAAGTACTATCAAAAGCCTGGAAGGCGTAGACAGGAGATAAAAAGTTTGAGGCTAACACAGACAATATTCTCAGACAATAAATTCCCCTCTTCCACTAAGCTTATCTCCTCAGCCTTTCATCACACTTCTCAGTCTTTTGTTTCAGTCTGGCTGGCTGCTTCAAATACAATAAGGAGACTGAAAGTCATTGACAGCAAACCTGACATCTTTTGTGCCCTCCTGTTTGCAACCCTAAAGCCACATGTACTAATTCTGTCACTGTACTAATCTTCAACACATATTAGCAATCTTGAGAACAGAGGACCTAATTGAAGCTGTTGGTTGATCAGCCATGCTCTAGTTAGCTGTCATGTCAGTGCTGGTGAGTCAGACCTATATGCATATGGGACTGACAGGATGGATGCATCCTGTGAAGTAAAACAAGACCCATGAGGACACTGATGCCCTGGAACACAGCGCTGGAGCTGTGCTGTTTGTGAGGAGGCTTTTTTTTGCTGGGAAACATAACAGTGCCATTACCACCATCACTGCCACCTCTCCTTATGGCGCAGACGGTGAGAATAAGTGAGTCTGTGAATCTCCTTATTTTCATGTGTGGATTACCTGGTCGGGATCTTGACCCTGAGATAGCGGTCAATTGCAATAGCCAGGAGGGCCAGGATTGAACTTTGCGTCAGCACCAGCACCGTGCACGCCACCAGCAGGCAGCTGTAAAAGTGAGTTTGGAGTCCGATGCTGATAGTGATGGCCAAAGGGATGACGAGAGCTCCCACTGCAATATCCGCCAGAGCCAGGGAGACGATGAAACAAAACGTGGTATCTCGCAACGATTTATTAATTTTCACCGCCCAAACCACCATCACATTCCCGATCACAGAAGCGACTGCAATCAGCACCTCCATCCCAATGTAGAGCGACTGCGCTGATAAAAGTGCTCCGGGCATCCTTGCAGATAATGATGTCCTTGATAAGATTGATTTCAGTGAAGCAGGCTTATAAGAAGCCAACAGAGCAGTCCTTTTTTTCACTATAGTATTTTCCAAACGAGCTGCGCGTCCATCAGTTTCACGGTGCACACATTCTCCTGGTTACCATAAATAACTGACAAGAAAAATCCAGTTATTTTGAGAGTGGAGAAGCTCGTTAACCAGCAGCATATCTAAGGATGAGGGTTTTTTTTCCTTTTGGAGCAGGTGTGGTGGTCCGGTGGCTGTTCGCTCCTGCTCTGTGTCCTGCGCCTCCACTTGGTTGAATACACCTGCTCCTAGTGAGTGCAGCATCCTTCCCCATGCGTTTCGATTTATCCAAGAGGGCGCTTCATCTTCATCAGTCTACGTTTTCTTTTTTTTTTTTTTTTTTTTTTTTTAAATTCAACAAAGCAGGTTTTAACAAAGCAAATAAACTATCTTCTGGATGGAGGCGCGCACAGTTGCATCAGCTGCGCAGGCGGGTGCCCCCTCTTCCTCTCTCCCTCGCTGTGCTTTCAGTAAGAGCAGTAATGCAGTTGTCGGAAATAGCTGTGGGATTTGTCTCGCCTTTTCGAATCTGCTGTCTTTGAGTCTCTAAAGTGTTATCTTGGTTATAGATCATCGGATTCCGTTGCTGGGTGCGATTGCTTCATTTTCCAATGCAGAAATAAACGAACGCCGCTGTAGCCTTCCGCGGGACCGTCCCGAGGAAGTCAGGTAGTGCAGAGGTGATTTGAACTCGCACCTTTTTTCTGTATAACGCCATGCGCGCCTTTCTTCCACACCCTTTCAGATGCTAATGGACCTTGCTCTTTTGCCCCGTTGTTCTGATAAGAGGTGAGGCACTGAACTGCCAAAGCTGACAGAAAAATATCACAGATAAAGCTAAGGAAAATGTCATTAGCTTATAAACAATTCCTTGAGTGATAAAGGACTGAGTAAACAGTGGCACAATACACACTCACAATGTGAATTCCACTTTTTACCTCTGCTTTCAAAATACTGTAATAAGTGTAAAATTATTGAAGGTTCATATTTCCACTGTATTTTTGAATGCCCTCTTATTAATGACTTTTGGATCAAAGTGTGTAAAGAAATTGATATTATTTTCAAGAGGAAACTAGCCCTGGAACCTATTTCCTGTATCCTGGGAGTACAACCAGCAGCTTTGAACCTCAGCCCCCCTTCACTGAAGCTGTTTAAGGTGCTGCTGTTTAATGCAAGGAGATGTATTCTTCTACAGTGGATTTCAGACTCTGTCCCCACAGTCTCACATTGGATCCGGAGTATTATGGAACTTCTCCCCCTAGAAGCTATACGCTTCTGGCTTAATGATAAACCATTTAAGTTTTTTCAAATCTGTGACCCCTTTCTAGAATATATTGGAGACAATGGGGCCTGGGCTCTCCGGAGTGGTCTCTGTGGCCTGGCATGGACTCAGGTTTCAGGGTGCATTCCTAGATATTGATGTGCTGTCAGCGTATTGCTGTGTTTGATTCCCCTTGGTACTTTGACTGTGTAAACCTTCTGTTTTTTTTTTTTTTTGCGTGTATGTGTGGAGAGTAAGTTCTGTAAAAACAGAAAACAATAAGAACGATATTTGTCAGGGATGTAAGTATTTGTAGGCACCTGTGTTCATGTGTTTCATGCTGTACTGACAAAGCTAGAAATAAAGAGCTAAATCCTCAAAAAAAAAAAAAAAAAAACACCTCAGAGAAACATGCATCTGTAATGCAAATAGATATTCAGGTCATTCTAAATATATTCATGTGCTACAAACTTCAAAGACCTCCACTCTGAGCCTGCGCCCAGCCCGCCCAATCTATAAAAAACAGGAGACATATTGATCTGCCCTTTAAAAAAACATCTGTAGCTTTCTTTGAGGAAAAATTGATATTTCCCTCTTCTGACTGGAGCATTCAGGTGCAGTATCCCAGCGACACAATAACCTGCCCTGTCAGAAAACAACCTTGAGTAGGCGAGCGCTACAAACATACAGGAGTGAAGTACAGCACTGGCATCTTGAGCTCCCTCGCTGGGGTTCAGAGGTCAACAGCCGGCTGCTGCTTGAGCTCTCTGACCATGGCAGGATCTCTATTTTGACATCCACAGGCAGAGATTAACTGTGTAGACTGGATGTGAAGGCGTCCCAGATGGTGCACTGTGTTCACTCACTGTAACGTATGGAAGAAGGCAGAGTGGAAGTCCTGGCTTTCAGCTGACAGTTGGCACATGATTCAGAGTGAAACGAAAACAAAAAGCAAAGCGGGATAGAACTGTAGTCAATATTCACACCGGGCGACTATGCATGATAGGAGGACGGCCAAGAGTCAGCAAGAGCTCCACTGAAACAGTCTCCATCTGTGACCAGTGTCATGGTTTAGAGATGTCAGTGTGAGGTTTAGAGGTCAGCCAATGTACAGTGAGGGAGGAAGCAGCCATATGGTCTGCTCGCGGTGATTGGCATCAGATCCACTTGTGACATTTTAATGAGCATTAGCATGGTGGTAATGCCTGAGAAATCAATCATTATAGAGCAAATGGTGTCAACTAACACACTTAGGCCTGAAATTAAGAGAGATTCTGAATGTTTTCACTTTGAAATAAGCCTCTCGGTCAAGGTGGGATTTCCTTCCTTTCCTTGCACTTTTTCAATTAGTTGTCAATCTGTACAAATTCCACTGTTATAGTTCATCAAGCCTCAGTCGAGAGAAGCAAAGGGATCAGGAAAGAGGCTTACTCCATCCTTTCAGGCTGCTGTTTTCTAAATGTGCTCCTCTTTTCAGCAGCTTAGAGACTCAGGGAACACAGTCATGTTCGATGTGGCCTACAGACCTCATGGTGCTGTTTGTGCTTGTTCACAGTCAATATTTTCACTGCAATGTGTGAGATATAAAACAGTCCCTGTATCTCATACAGACTTAGCTTGACTTTGCTTATCATCAAGGCCTTTCAGCGAGGAATTTTAACAACCGTGTGACTTACAATTCAGTTTCACTAACTGCCATGTCCACAGTGTAAGGAAATGAGGAAATGCTTCAGTAAACGTTTGTCAGATTTTGCCATTTGGGGATGTGTGGCCAGTGAAGTGCACAGTGCTTTGGTTTCATGAGACAGATTCTACAGTTCAACGCTCTTTTAGCTGCTGAGTCCCGAATTAAAGATAGAAAATGTCCACAGTTTATATGAGGCCTTCTAAAACCCAGATCAAGAGTTTTTTGACTGGATAAAAAAAGAGGCTGTTCAGTTGAATGGTTGACTGCTTTTAACAAAATCTAATTACAAAATATAAAAATATTCTAAAAGATGACAAGAAACCCACTAATGGGCACAGGCACAGTGTGGAGCCCCCACAGCTTGTAAAGCACATCAACCTTTTTGCTCTGACACGGCACAATTTATATGAAGGCTTCAACTGCAGGGATGAAGGACCAAGCACTGAGCCATGTCCATATTCAAATGAGAAAAGATCACATAGCAGTTTCCTCCCCAGTGTCTTTTCTGTTGAACTGGGTTCAAAAACAATATTGCTCAGTCATTAAAAAAAAAGCCCCGGCGATGAACTGCAGTGGCGTTCTCAGCGGACTGCTGAACCAGACAGCAACAACATTATTAACACAGCTAAAGACTTCCAAAGGCGTCCTATTAGCCAGGACTCCCTCCAGGAAAACAGTTTAGCCATTTCAAACAAGACTGGGGCCGTCGAGGAATACTATTGCAGGGTTATTACAAGGAAAACAACACAAGATGGATAGCCTTGGCTCTGTCGCTCAGAAGACCTTCAATGAAATTCTCAGAGAGGAGGCAATATAAGAGCACTCAAGCACTCGCATGTGTTCCCTATTCCCTAGATCGAACAAGCACCCGAACAGCTTCTCAACTATTATAGCTGCTGGGAATGGATGTAGCCCTCTGTAATTTACATGGAAATTCTCAAGAAAGTGGTGCATCCCAGAATAATAGATACTCTAGCCTTGTCATCTCTTCCAGATAAAGAATAAATCTTCATACAAACACAGCCCTTGACTCAGCTTGTTTCCTCTACACAATTAATATAAATTAAAGCTGATATTGTTGTTAGAGTTAACAGCTGTACACAACAGTGGCAATGAAGGCAGAACGTATTGCCTCAGGAACAGTAGATTTTACTTTATAGATAGAAATACTGCAGTATGAATGCATTTGTCTATTCTATATATATATACACATTTTACTTTCCCCATGTGGGTTACATATCACAAAATATAGTAAAGCTAGTTGTGTCTGCAGCATATAATCATATGCTGTACATAAAAAGTACTCGAGAACATGAACTTGTGGACAAACTGATTATGGTATAAGAGCTCCTTTCAGAGCTGCCAGCTGGCCGGCCGACATTATCTCGCCTGCTCGGTACCCACAGTGTGCCCGAAAAATAGCCACCCCATCCATTTGAAGCTCAAGCTGACAGGGTGAAAATGAAAAATGTCAACAACTAATCCGGCAGCTCGCAGCTATCATACATCATAAAGCCCTCCCAAACTGGGATATTTTGATGTGTGAGTCTTTCAATTTGGTTGATAAGGTTTTGCCAGACCCACAGGATTTCAGAAACACTGAGGTCATAAGCCCCCTGAAATATTTTGGACTATCAACCAAAAAATATTCAATAACATTTCCTGATAAAATTATGAAATTATTCCAAATGTATTAAACATGATATACATGATGGTTTACTTGCTGTGTTAAACCCACCCTGCCAGGAATAGAGACATTCTGGTGGAAAAATACTAAAGTTATTTGCTGTAACTGAAGTATTCCTCCAAAAACTCAAAGACTCAAAGACTTTTTTTTCTAAATACAAAGTTACAGCCTGCAGTCGGTTAGAATAAAGATTGGAAACAGAGGGAAGTACGGCCTGGCTCTGTCCAAAGGTAACAAAGTCTGCCTCCCAGCACCTCTAATGCTCAATAATTAATACACTATAACTCACACTCATATGCACAAACACATAAATGTAAAACCAATACTACAACAAATAAGATATAATGTGTTCATTATTGAGCTTTAGAAGTGCTGGTAGGCAAGGTTTCCTTTGGGCTGACCCAGTCTTTATGCCAAGCAAAGCTAACCAGCTGCAGGCTGTAGCTTCGTGTTCATTGTATGAGTGCTATGAGTCATTTTCTAACTCTTTACAAGAAAACAAATACGCTTTTCCCCCAATATTCCTTTAACAACATCTCCCTCCTGAAGAAAAGCAAGCTACCATGCAATATAATCATGTCTGTGTGTTTTCAGGTTGCTCTCAGATTATATTTTCTCCTTTCTGTTGTTCCCCAATAGTTGGGGGCATCACAGGGAATTCCCCGGTGTGTTTTTGTCTCAGTATCTGTATGAGTGTGTGTTTGTATGTGTGTGTGCTGAAATGTGAAGCAGAGGTTGACTACAACAGAAAAGCTAAAACCCAAACCTTAGGCTCCCTAATTCCTCCACGTCATCCAACACCAGCCTCAAATAAGATTACTGTGCAGAAAATACTGTATCTCCCACAGCTCTTCACTCCACAGCAGCGAGTGCGCCTCTCTTTCTCTGCTTCTCACAAAAAATCAAGGTTAAACATACCATTCACAGACATTTTGACACCGCCCACCCTGCTCACTGATGAGAAGTTGATTTGGATGAAAACATTTCAGCTGCTCCCACGGATGGATTTACAGTAAAATCTTCTCCAGCAGCCTACACACCAATCATAGAATTACATACAGAGCTATTTGTGGGCAAACGTGTGAAAAGTAAAATCTAATTAAGGAACTCACACCCTGTTTTCATGCAGGTGGGTGAGCTGGCTTTACAATGTGTGCTGCTGCTCTGTGCTATTTTTGATATCGCTGAAACTGGCAGCCTTGAGCCCAGTACAGCCGATGCTAACAATGTAGAAAAGATTTATGATTAGTCTCAATTTCTCCATGTGGTTGCCAACATATCGAGAGGCCTCTGGATAATGAGAGGGAATATTCAATGTCTTTTTCCAAACATGTGCTCCTATTACAGCTGCATTACGATAATTGGAAGCACTTTGACAGTAGCATGTACAGTAACATGCCTCCCATGATCACAGCTTGCACATAAAATATTGATGCTCTATATTATATCAGCCGTTGATTGCAAATTTCTAATTTGTCAACAAAGGTGATAATTAGGGTACAATGTGTAATGGCATGTTCTGCATATGTGCTTATTACAGCATAAACAAGTCTTACACTATACAATTAGATCACACCGCATTCAGAGGAAGTGAGAGGAATAAAGCCAGAACTGAATAATTACAGCTTTCAAAAAACAATTCAGCACTTCTCTTTGAAATCAGGCTCTTGTTCTTGTTTGCCTCAACTCTCTCTGTGCTTACCATATAAAGGCAACACAGAGGAAACTGGTGGAGAATCAGTGAAAGGGAGAGAGAATATAATTAGATAGAGGAATAGGAGAGAGGCATCAGTTAGGGCTCTGTGCAGCGACTAGATAGATGAGAGAGGAGATGAAAGGAAATGGAGGGAGAGGTGGAAAAAATGTGTGGGTTAATGACAAAACTCTGAATCTAATCTATTTAAGAGGTGTGGTCAATCCTGAATCAAAGGACTTTATGTGGCCTCTCGAGCATTTATCGCTTCAGAATGTGTCTTTTAAACCACAGCTGTTGTCGGCACATTTTGCTG